GATTTCCTCCCGTCCTTCATGGTGGTGGTGAACAATGAGTGTTAGGCCGAGCATTTCACTTGTTTATCTCTGTGGTAAAGGTTCACATTTTATATTCGGCGGCAAGTCGACCCTTGGTTTTGGAGAGTTTTTAGGCTTCAAACGCCCTATCATTATACGCTGATTCGACCAAATATCTGCTAGTCCGGCTTCCATGGACATTTTGGCCGAATAGGGAGATAACTTTATCCGGCCAAAATTTTTGGCGGATTAGGGCGTTTTCCGGATTTAGCGGGTTTCTACAGTACTGTATGTACGAATTTGTGACTATTGACGACCGTCACAATAGGTTCTATCTAACCAGGAAGATGGGTTGATTTATTCACATTTATTACCATTTGTCACGTGTTGCTCCAAGCACTTATTTAATCAAGATCAGTTTGAAGAAGATACCAATCGTCTGCATCTCCTATCTTCCCCAGTATCTTAACATCATCTGCAAACATGTTCATATAATTCTGTATTCCTTCTGGTAGATAGTTTATGTAAACGATGAACATAACAGGTTAACATAATGAACTGAACCCTCTGGTACTCTGCTAGTAACACCTTTTGTCCAATAAATTGCTTCTGATTACCACCCTCATCTGTCTGTCGGTTAGACAATTTTTCATCCATTTCAGAAGTCTCCCTGTCACCACTCTAGCATGTTCCAGTTTCCAAAACAACCTCTTGTGTGGGACTGTCAAAATCCTATTTTTTTTTATTTCTAGGTCCAGATTGATAGTCAACCCAACAACCACTTTCCTGTAGTATCTCTGTGGCTCTATCATAAAAACTAAGTAGATTTGTTACACAAGATGTTCCTGTTTGAAAACCATATTGTCTGTCCGTTATTATGTCATTACTCTCCAGGTGTTCTACCCATTTGGCTTTAACGATTTTTTCTAATGTTTTTACTACCATGCTTGTTAATGATAAGGGTCTATAATTTAGAGGATCTTCTCGACTACCATTTTTATAAGATTGGAACTATGTTTACCTTTTTCTATATATCTGTAAAGATTTCTGAGCACAAGGATGTCTGAAATATTAATTGGAATGGAATGCTCAGCTCATTTGCACATTCTTGCAGCATCCAAGATAAGACTCCATCTGGTCCTACTGCTTTATTTCTAGCCCCTTGAGTAGTTTTCCACTTCATCTTGAGATATCTCTATGTATTCTATAGTGTGCTCTGGAATTTGCACCGAGTCCGGCTCTCTGAAATCGTCATTTTGTAAAAAAAAAAAAGAGACTGGAACTGTTTATCTAGTGTTTCACACATTTCTCTCATTCTTAGTAAACCTGTTACCCATTCTCAATCTCTGGATGTTACATGCAGCTTGCTTTTAATGAATTTATAGTAAAGGCCTGGATCCGTTTTATATATGTCCGCTACTCCTTTTTCTAAGTTCCTTTCTGCCTCTCCTCTCACTGCTGTGTGTTTGTTTCTTGATTGCTTGTAGTGCTGGTGTAACACTGTAAGGTGTTTGGTTTAGTTGTATTTAAAATACATAGAGATGTATGAGTCAGACAAGAATTTGAGAAGGCGCCAGTTTGGTCGACCTGAGATCTCACACCTCTAAGAGTTAATGACCTCAAGTGACCTGAGATCAGATCATGCGAATTTCACCTTGCTTCTGCTAATCTTATAATTGGAGCCTGGTAGCCTTCAAACATGCCGACGTTTAAGGAGTGGCTTGGTAGAGTGCCTGAGGCTATCTACTTGTGGGCGGAGTTAGTTATTAGGTTCCCCAATATATACTCGGAGAGCTATCGATTCGAGAGCACTAACAGAGGAGAAGAACAGCAGCCAGCAGAGGAGAGAAGACGGCCTAGCAGGGAGGCTGTCGGCTGGCAGGGCGGGACAGTCTCTGTCAACTACAGACCCCCCCCCCTCTATCCAGCTATAGGCAGACACTTGGCGAGTTGAGCATTAACAGAGGAGAAGAACAGCAGCCAGCAGAGGAGAGAAGACGGCCTAGCAGGGATTATTAAGGTGACTTGGTCGTGTTTACACATGTTGTGTGATGATCAGGGGCAGTCAGTTGTAGTGTTCTCAGATTCTTGGAGGATGACTCACTTTACATATATATATCTTGAACATTGCTTAAATTATGATACTTAGTATGTGAAATATAATTGAATTTATTATTTAAATTGCCTTTATCTGTGTCCCCTAGAGCCTTGAGTTGAGGTGAGAAAGCCTCTGTGATTACTGGTTTCATGATTTAATGAGTACATGATAAAGATGGGACATATTAATAATGACCTCTTGATAACATCTTTTGTGAATATTGTGATACAGACAAGTTCCATTCCTTGTCTTGTATGTAATGGTCTTGAATGGATGGTGGCAGCATTTCGTCTTCTACTATCTACTCTTCTACTTCTACTATCTACTCTTCTACTTCTACTATCTACTCTTCTACTTCTACCTATCTACTTCTCTCCCTCCACCCCTCTCTAAACTCTCACTTTCAACTAATGACCCTCCGCTCCTCCCACCCCTCTACCTCTCTCACCCCAAACCCTCACTAATTACTTCACTAGTCTTCTCTTTCCTTTCGTATCTCTTATACGTTTGTGGCAGTGAAATGTATTCTAGAGTTCTCTCTAGAGTTTCGGGTAGCGGATCCAGTTACTGCGCCTTGTAGTCTTAGCACCTAGGTAGTCAAATACCTAGGTTACAAGGTGTTGAACGAGAGAGGCTGCCTTAGGAACTCTGGAGGTGCTCTAGAATAGTTAGCTAACTGGGGACGGGATAACGGACTAGAGAGAGCTGTTTCCCCCGGCCTCGTTAGTTAACTGGGGGGGTTGGAATAATGGACAAGATATATCTATTTCCCCCACCCCCCGTTACACTGGCATGTTTGAGGATTAGCCCTCTTCCTATATTGTATCCATTTTCTTTTCCTCTCTGGGCCTCACACAATTTCTGTTGAACCAATCCTATTTTATGGTTCTGCATCCTGGTTTTGGTATGAATTTTTTTGTGCCTTCATCATATGTTTCAAAAAATTTGGCATACATCTCATTTACTTTCTTGCCTAGCAACAAGTCTTTCCTTGGTACATCCTTGGTGCTGTTTTGCATGCTGTCTTGAGTTGTGTTTTCCTTCCAGCTGGTTCGTACTTCCCTTAAGCCATCTTCGACTCTCGATCAAGTGTTGGTGCTTCTTCCCTTCGATTTCTGGTTGCCCCGTCGATCCTAGATGTGTTTCTTATTGCATTGTTTTTGTTGGCTCTCGCCTCTGACTGTTAAGTTCGTAAGCTTCATGTTCTTTTTTTGGAAATGTGGGTTCTGTTCTTTTGGCACTTGTTGACAGTGCTTCACCTGTAGCCTTCTCCTCCTGTTCCGGTGGAGATGGAGACAGTTGACTTCTGGAAGGGTCCCCTTGAAGATTGATGCTTGGTTTGTTCATTTAGGGATGTACCTTCTGTTGTGTTCGATAGCTGCAGTTTGTCGCTAGTGGCATGCTACCCATTCTGCTAATGTGGATGCACTGTTTGTTAACCCTTGGGCTGCTAAGGGTCATTATGGCTTCAACACCCACAGGTGCAACAAAAAAAAAAATTCCAAGAAATTCTTTTTTCTTATTAATGTGTTTATTTGTCTTCCCTGAGCACAGGAAAAATAATAAAAAAATTAATTGTACTTGCCAATGATGTAAATGAGCCGAGAAGTTGGTCGATGACGTCACGATTCATCATCGCTGGAGCGTCGTGTGCTGGGGCCGAGTCAGGCGCGGCGGAGTAGGAGCCCGAGTTGCCGCGAATTTATTTTCGCGGTATTATTTACAGTGTGTATGGCATATTTTACACCATTTTTTTTTTTTACTGGTGTGGTTCAGTGTGTTCTCACTTGATGATTTATCATCATAGAACTGTTGTCAATGTATATTGGATCCACATATTAGTGTCACAAGTATTTGTACAAAAAGTCTTTTTTTTTCAATAAAATATAAAAAATTCTATGATTTATTTTCATTATTAACACCCACTTATTCTGTATTTACATGTATTTGCACCAGTCTTGGACATTCAGAAGTCATCAAGACTGTGATACTCGTCAAAACATTTGACATTGTACAGAGGGACCCGACACACTGTGCACCAAGTCATCACCATTTTACGTTTATGTTCCCTCTTTGTTGTCGTCTTGCATACAATGCATTCACGCTGGCCTACTGCACGATCCAAGAAACTATCTTGGATATAGCTTTAGGGAGCCACTGAGGCTTGCCCTGAAAGGGGTGTTTCATTACAATCAATGCTGGTCTTCTGATGAGCAATTCTGAGGTGCTGTTGAGAAAAAATCCCAAGAAGTACTGAGGGTGCAGCACACACACAGTGCAAGTATAATGAAAGGCCACTTTTTGTGCAGTACCTTGCAAGCTCCACATTCCTGCCCTGTTTTCCATTCTCTTGGGTATAGTGCTTGTGGCTCAACGGTGAGAAAGGTAGTTGGCTGAGACCCCGGGTGACCTTTGCTTCCACCTGGATAGTGTCAAGGGAGTTGGGACAATTTACCTGTTTTCAAATATTGGTTGGATTATGTGATGGTCTCAGTCTTTACTTATGTAAGTTGAGATGTAAGCCATTTTGTGATCCCTATCAACTTTGAATAATTCATTTTGGTAGTGGGTTGAACATTAATTCCTGCTTGCTCCCCATGCCTCTTTTGGGTGGCCAAGTATTAGTCCTAGCTCCTAGTAGGCTCAAGACATCCCCAAAGGCCTGAGTTTTGGGGGAATTTCTGCTGTCAGTGCCAGAACCTTCGTAGAGCTGTTCAGGTGCTGTACAGAAAGGGACATTTTATTACAATAGATACTCAATTTTTGTAATATTACTGTTCTTTTAAAATAGAATGCTAATGGCTTTATAATTGAATTACTATATAGCATTTATATATTTTCTGTATGATATAATACAATGATGTTCTGTGCTGGTACACATTTCAACTGTCATTGATATTTAATTTCAGATTTGTACCTGAGCCATGTTTTGGGAGAGAAGGGGATCATTGCTTTTGGTCGAAGGGTATCCGGTGACCAAGTATTTGTAGAGGCAAAGAAATGTACACTAGATGTAATCAAGACTTTAATTGAGAAAGATGTCCAGAAGATTCTCAAATATGTTGTTGATATTAGAGTAAGTGATTTAATTTTCACTTGTAATTTAAAAAATAATTAAAACTGGTAAATTGTACCACTTTTTGTATCGCTTAAGGTGTCTCCTCAGGTCTCTCTTCTTTCTGTTGTCTTAGCTCTTAAGTGTATTTCAGTCATTTAAGGTGAATCTGGTGCATGATGCATGAATTTTTCACCAGAAATTTAAGGAACCGGGTGTTGAACCACAGCTTTGTGCCACCCATTATATCGTGAGGGAATAGGGATGCACCACCCTACATGTCATATTTTTTAGAATATCTTAAGATTCTAAAACCCTGTGGGTACATGGGGCTCACTTTTAACAATGGCAAATGAGGGATTACCATGTATATATTAACAGGCAAAATGTGTACCATGTGCAGTTATAAGAATTAGGCATGTAAATACATACATACATATTAATTATATATATATATATATATATATATGTCGTACCTAATAGCCAGAACGCACTTCTCAGCCTACTATGCAAGGCCCGATTTGCCTAATAAGCCAAGTTTTCTTGAAATAATTGTTTTTCGACTACCTAACCTACCTAACCTAACCTAACTTTTTCGGCTACCTAACCAAACCTAACCTATAAAGATAGGTTAGGTTAGGTTAGGTAGGGTTGGTTAGGTTCGGTCATATATCTACGTTAATTTTAACTCCAATAAAAAAAAATTGACCTCATACATAATGAAATGGTTAGGTTTATCATTTCATAAGAAAAAAAACTGAAAAAATATATTAATTCAGGAAAACTTGGCTTATTAGGCAAATCGGGCCTTGCATAGTAGGCCAAAAAGTGAGTTCTGGCTACTAGGTACGACATATATATATATATATATATATATATATATATATATATATATTATTAAATATGACCGAAAAAGTAAGATTAATAATTCTAACACGAATTTTCTCAATCTTTCGTACATTTCTTTTCACTGTTGGAGGTAAATAAAAAATCAATTCTCCGAAATTCATTTTTATTTCTAGTCTGACGCGACACGAGCGCGTTTCGTAAAACTTATTACATTTTCAAAGACTTTAGTTTACAAATACACAACTGAATAGAACTTACGCATCTCCGATTTTATATCTACATTTTAGTGAGGTGGCATTAATAGGGTATTAATTTCATCACAAGACAGAACAAGAGGTGGCATTAATAGGGTATTAATTTCATCAACACAAGACAGAACACGAAACAATGGGTATTGAATAGAAGTGTATGTAGAAAGCCTATTGGTCCATATTTCTTGATGCTTCTATATTGGAGCGGAGTCTTGAGGTGGGTAGACTCCGCTGCAATATATTAGCATCAAGAAATATGGACCAATAGGCTTTCTACATACACTTCTATTCAATACCCATTGTTTCGTGTTCTGTCTTGTGTTGATGAAATTAATACCCTATTAATGCCACCTCTTGTTCTGTCTTGTGTTGATGAAATTAATACCCTTGTTACGGCCCTCTCGGGTCGCAACTGGGTTCTTACTCTGATGTTATTAGAGGAAGGGTATCCGGCCCCAAGCCAGTAGTGGCTTTCAAGGGATGAGATCCGTAACGCAAGTAAAATAAAAGGGGAAGGGAAAGAAAGGCAAAAACTTATTATATAATGATCACCGTCACCAATAAATATATATAAACGATTACATGGGGAGGGGGGAGTATAAACACTATACTACACTGTTGTCTTCTTCTGAAGACTCTGGATCCTCTCGATGCCAAGTTCTCGGTGCTCTCGTGGCCTCACGACGAATCCTTCGAAAAGCTGAGTCTACCCCGGCCACAGGCCAGCCAAAACACAGTTCCACTGGGGGCACCGCCGTGGAGGCCGTCAACCACAAGTCCAGCAGGCAGCTGGCAGGTTCCGGATCAGCAACGCTGGTCAGGCCACTCCACGAGCGATACTAGGGTAGCGCCCTAGTCAGGAGCCTCGTGTGATACCACAGATCACTCTCCTGTCCACAATACCCCAGTGGTTAATCGTCTCCACCAGTCAGTCCCGGGTATGACAATCCTCAACTGCCACTTTACAGGCAGGGTAACACCACAGTGTTCATCCGGGAGGCGACTCACAGCTGCTGCAGCAAAACACTTGGTGTCGAGACGGCTGCCTTGGGTAGACTGACTCAACTTCCATCACAGCAGTCCCAGGTCGACTCTGTAATCAGACACGTCATCAGTAACAGGGACACACAAAAGCACCTCACTTACAGGCTCAGACCCAAACGCCCACCTATCCACTCCATAGATGGCGTTGTCGTCTGAGCACCACCTCACCAGAGGTCAGCAGCGGCTGTGTTGTGAGCTGAACAGGACTGGAAACTGGCCCTCGTGGCCAGTACACCTCGTCCTCACCAGGTGTCGTCGTCCATTTGGAGGGGGTTTCGGGAGCTGACCCACAGATGGCGTGGTCGTCACTGCTCCAGGCTCGGACGCTGGATCCGGGTCCGTAACAACCCTATTAATGCCACCTCACCCCATCCACCTCACTAAAATGTAGATATAAAATCGGAGATGCGTAAGTTCTATTCAGTTGTGTATTTGTAAACTAAAGTCTTTGAAAATGTAATAAGTTTTACGAAACGCGCTCGTGTCGCGTCAGACTAGAAATAAAAATGAATTTTGGAGAATTGATTTTTGATTTACCTCCAACAGTGAAAAGAAATGTACGAAAGATTGAGAAAATTCGTGTTAGAATTATTAATCTTACTTTTTCGGTCATATTTAATAATATATGTCTACAGGAAAGACTGCTACCAAAATATACTAATATATATATATATATATATAATATATATAATAATATACTAGCTGTACCCGGCCACGCGTTGCTGTGCCTCAGCAACCTTCCCCTGTCTCCCAGTCCGCCCCACCATTCCCCGTGCCCCGTCCCCTCATCCTCCCAACCATTCCTCACTCACCCGTCCCCTCTTCCTTCCAAGCATTTCTCACTCACCCGTCCCCTCTTCCTCCCAACTATTCCCCACTCCCCGTCCCCTCGTCTTCCCCCTCCCCTGTCCCTTTGTCCTCCCCAACATTCCCCACTCCAGCGTCCGTTTGTCCTTCTAACCATTCCCCACTCCATCGTCCCCTCCTCCGCACCATCTTCCACTCCCCCATCCCCTTATCCTCCCTACCATTCCCCCCTCCCCTGTCCCCTCCTCCTTTCCACCAACCCCCACTCCTCTGTTTCCTTGTCCGCCCCACCATTCTCCATTCCCCTATCCCCCTCGTCCCCACCATTCCCAATTGCCCCATCCCCTCGTCCTGTTTTCAAAAAAGCATGTTTTTACATGTCACAGGTGTGGCATCTCTATAGTCGGTATATAAAAACATGTGTGTATTGGAATGGAACGTTGCATCCAAATTTCAAAGCAATCGATGAAGAACTTTAGGAGATTTCAGCGTGTGTTGCTCTTACGTCCAACAGATGGTGCTGTTTTTAAAAAAAAGCACGATTTTTCCTGTCACAGTTGTGACATGCATATAGGAGGTATATAAAAACATGCGCCTATTCGAATGCAACGTTGTGTCAAAATTTCAAAGCAATTGGTAAAGAAGTTTTGAAGATTTCCCTCCCATGAAAAAATAGTTTTTCAAAACAAGTATGTTTTTTCCCGTCACAGATGTGACATCTATATAATATGTATATATAAACCCGCTCAGATGTGAATGGAACGTTGTGCAAAAATTTCAAAGCAATCGGTGAAGAACTTTCATTTACATTTTTTTATTTAAATAGATATAGGTATAGAAACATTTACATTTTTATTTATATAGATATATGTATATGCTACCAGTACCCAGCCATGTGTTGGCCGGGTATTACTAGTATATATTCCTGTCCCCTGGAACCTTCCCTGTCCCCCAGTCCCCTCCCCACAATTCCCCCCCCTCACCCGTCTGCTCGTCCTCCCTATCATTCCCCACTTGCCCATCCCCTCTTCCTTCCCACCATGCCCCACTCCCTGGTCCCTTTGTCCTACCCACCATTCTCCATTCCAGCATCCCCTCGTCCCCACCATCCCAAACTCCCCCGTCCCCTCGTCCTTCCCCACCATTACCCCCTCCCTTCTTCCCTCGTCCTCCCCACCATCTCTCGCTTCCTTCCCCTCGTCATCCCCACCATTCCCCACTCCCTTGTCCGATGCCTTCCCAAATGGTCTGATGTTCCCATCAGAAAATTGGGAACATCATTTGATGTTCCCATCACTGAAATATAACAAAAACAGTAAAAAATGAAATGAAAATATGAAAAAGTAAAAAGTAAACTATACTCACAAAATGAACGGTATGGTAAACAAAACAGCTAAATTCCAACACAATTCACACAAAATAATTAAATCAAAATGAAAATAAATAAAATCTATAAAAATTCAATTTATCAATGCAATCAGAAACATTGAAATGGAATTGTAACATATTTAGTATAGCATGTGTGTTCCTCTTACATGCAACAGATGGCGTTGTTTTGCAAGAAATGCATAGTTTTACCTGTAACAGGTGTGGCATCTATACTTATACTTACGAAATGAACGGTATGGTAAACAACAGAGCTCAATTCCAACACAATGTCACAAAATAATTAAATAAAAAATAAAATAAACCGAAATCTTTGAAAATAAAATTTATCAATGCAATCGGAAACATTCAAATGGAATTTGTGACACATTTAGTATAGTGTGCATGTTGCTATTATGTGCAACAGATGGCGCTGTTTTCCAAAAACACGTTTTTACCTATCACATAGGTGGCATCTATATAGTAGGTATATAAAAAGACGTGCATATTCAAATGGAACGTTGTGTCAGAATTTCAAAGCAATCGGTGAAGAACTTTGGAAGATTACTTTGGAAAATGAGCCACAGAGATATTAGAAAGAATTTTTTTAGTGTCAGAGTGGTTGACAAATGGAATGCATTAGGAAGCGATGTGGTGGAGGCTGACTCCATACACAGTTTCAAGTGTAAATATGATAGAGCCCAA